TCACTCCCTTGTTGAATTAGCCGGTTTACCCGCACTGCTGAAATAAAAGGCAAACTTGAAGTCTTTCTTGCACCCTCAAACTCTAGTACCAAGGATCCCTCTTGTTCAAAACGAACTCTACCTCTCTTACAATAATGAGTAACAAACTTTGCAATATCCTTTTTCATGCCATGCCAAAGAAAGTACTGCTTCAAATTCCGATACATCGTTGTAGTACCCGGATGTATAGAATATCGCGTATTATGCACCTCTTTCAATAACTCTTTCCTCAATTCTTCATCTTTAGGCACATATGCACGACCTCTCAATAGTATCAACCCATCATTTGAAGTGGAATACCCTGCCCTTGTAAAATCTTCGGGCTTTTCCATCAATTCTTTCGTTTTTTTCATCTGTTTCTTGAGCCATCTTCACCTTTTCCAACCAACTATCCCATTTTATAGCACTAGTTTCCAATCCATCTCGATTCTCCTGAGCTGATATATGCATTAAACTCAATTGAGTTGTTAGATCACTTGTCAATCTCAAAGTAGATAACTCAACTTTCTTTCTACTCAAGGCATCTGCAACTACATTAGCTTTGCCAAGGTGATAGGCAATATCCACATCATAATCTGCCACTAATTCCATCCACCTGCGTTGTCTCAAATTTAGTTCCTTTTGAGAGAACACATACTTGAGACTTTTATGGTCAGTGTATACTTGAACATAACCCCCCCCAGAAACGTATAAGAGGGTTTCTCCTAGTTGATGAACACAACATTCAGGGATTATTTGGACGAGTTTGTTATCATCTTCATTGATGACATCCTTGTGTACTCCAAATCTCGTGAGGACCATATGATACATTTGGAAAAGGTGTTGGAACGCTTAAGGAGAGAAAAGTTATATGCAAAGCTGAGTAAGTGTGACTTTTGGATGCAAGAGGTAGGATTTTTGGGGCATGTGGTATCTGTGGAAGGAGTGAAAGTAGATCCATCCAAAGTGTCGACTATAGTTGATTGGGTGAGACCGTCTAATGCTACAGAGATTCGAAGCTTTCTCGGGTTGGCTGGGTATTACAGAAAGTTTGTAAAGGGGTTTGCCAACCTATCTAAGCCATTGACGAGATTGACGGGAAAGGGTGTGAAGTTTGAATGGGACGAAAAATGCGAGACAAGTTTTGAAGAGTTGAAGAAGCGATTGACATCAGCTCCTATTTTGGCATTACCAAAGCCCGGAAAACAGTTTGTGGTGTATAGTGATGCCTCTCACCAAGGGTTAGGATGCGTGTTGATGCAAGAAGACCGCGTTATTGCGTATGCATCACGCCAACTTCGAAAACATGAAGAAAACTACCCTACTCACGATTTAGAACTTGCAGCTGTGATTTTTGCATTGAAGATTTGGAGATCTTACTTGTACGGGGAAAAAGTTCAAGTATACACTGACCATAAAAGTCTCAAGTATGTGTCCTCTCAAAAGGAACTAAATTTGAGACAACGCAGGTGGATGAAATTAGTGGCAGATTACGATGTGGATATTGCCTATCATCCCGACAAAGCTAATGTGGTTGCAGATGCCTTGAGTAGAAAGAAAGTTGAGTTATCTACTTTGAGATTGACAAGTGATCTAACAACTCAATTGAGTTTAATGCAGATATCAGCTCAGAAAAATCGAGATGGGTTGGAAACTAGTGCTATAAAATGGGATAGTTGGTTGAAAAAGGTGAAGATGGCTCAAGAAACAGATGAAAAAACGAAAGAATTGATGGAAAAGCCCGAAGATTTTACAAGGGCAGGGTATTCCACTTCAAATGATGGGTTGATACTATTGAGAGGTCGTGCATATGTGCCTAAAGATGAAGAATTGAGGAAAGAGTTATTGAAAAGAGGTGCATAATACGCGATATTCTATACATCCGGGTACTACAAAGATGTATCAGAATTTGAAGCAGTACTTTCTTTGGCATGGCATGAAAAAAGATATTGCAAAGTTTGTTACTCATTGTCTAACGTGTCAGCTAGTTAAAGCCGAGCACCAAGTACCTGCAGGAAAACTACAGTCACTATCGATACCTCAGTGGAAATGGGACTTGGTGACGATGGATTTTGTAGTTGGGTTGCCAAGGACACCAAAAGGAAATGATGCAATATGGGTTATTGTGGACCGTTTAACTAAGTCTGCACATTTTATCGCGATTAAAAAGGCATTCTCAATGCCTCGTTTAGCACAGGTCTACATAGAAGAAGTGGTAAGACTTCATGGAATCCCCATTAGTATCGGGTCGGACAGAGATCCACGATTTACTTCGAGGTTTTGGATCAGTTTACAAGAGGCTATGGGCACTAAGGTACGATTGAGTACAGCTTATCATCCCCAGACCGATGGACAATCAGAGAGGACGATACAAACGCTAGAGGATATGTTACGTGCGTGTGTATTGGATTGGGGAGGAGAATGGGATCGTCACTTACCACTTGTGGAATTCGCCTACAATAACAGTTTTCATTCAAGTATCGGGATGTCACCCTTTGAGGCGTTATATGGACGACCTTGCAAGACACCTCTCTGTTGGACAGAAGTTGGAGAAAGACGATTGTTAGGTCCTGATATAG